GGAGTTTAGGGCTGGTTGTACATAGGGTCGCTATGAGTCGCAAGCGACTCGACGGCACATAACAACAACAACGGTACCAAGGGTGTTAATTATGAGTCCAAGTAAGATGCAGCTATTGACAGTTTCAATCTTCTCTCCATCCATCATGATTTTCCCTGCCCGTCCAGTGGTATCTTCTGCAACATCTACTTAAAATCCTCCTCACTTTCAGCAAGGTTGTTTCATCTGCATAATGCGGGTTACTGAAGAGTCTCTCTCCAATCCTGATGCCACATTTCTGTTCATAGAGTCCAGCTTCTCCCATAGTTGTTGGAGAACAACGGCCGACTGCATGCAGCCTAAAAAGTCCCACCCCGCCCAACCTGGGAAAATGATGGGGCAGTACATCCGAAGGACCCAGGCCACCTCCACCTCAGTTGTCTAAACCTTTGCCTTGAGAAGGTTGGATCACCATTTATTTTTTACAATTTCTTTTCAACAGCAACTCAGCCTATATCTATTCTCTTCCAGGGACAAATTCCCTAGGAATTTGAATGTTTTCAGCCACATCAGGCACTCATCCGGGCACCTGGAATGCCAGGGGTCCTTGGCTCCGGGCTCTGCTCTGCTTTCAGACAACGCTGCAGAGGCGGCCAATCAGCTGCATTGAGGAGAAGCAGGGCGAGGCCACCTCTTAAAGGAGACGCGACCCGTTAGTTAGCAGACAGGAGGGTGACCCTGATGATGGCGACCCGCGCGGGGCTAACCCTGGCCCTGTGGCTACTACTGCCGCCGGTGGGAGATGCATGGGCAGGACCCCCGCCGATCCAGGACGGCGAGTTCACGTTTCTGTTGCCCGCGGGCAGAAAGCAGTGTTTCTATCAGTCTGCGCCGGCTAATGCAAGCCTCGAAACAGAGTACCAGGTACGCGGTCGCGATCCGCTGAGCGAGCGGAATAAAGTAGAGGGAATAAAGCCAAGCTGCGGAGGCTGGACATGTGTGGAAGGGGGAGGAGTCCGCTCTCAGGGGCCCGTGGGCGGGGCGAGGAGCTGGAGCCCGTGGGGGCAGGGCTCGTACGTGGAGGCGGAGGGGGGAGTAATGAGTGACGGCTAGAGTAGGCGGGGCCAGGGCCGAGCCAATGACAGGAACGGGTGGGCGTGACCAAGGCAAAAGTTTCTGGGGACACGTGGACAGTAAGGGACTGACTCCCCAAGAAAACGTCAGTCATGGGCTTGGGGGCGTGACCACGGGAAAGAAAATACTTTCAGTCCATTGTAACTCAGGGCGATCGCCTGAGTGTCAAACTGTCTTATAAGGTTTCAATACTTTTTCTACAGAAGTATTGGCACCTTTGGGTGGGCTAGAACCACCAACCTTTTGATTAGCGGCAAAGCATATTCACGTCACTCAAGGCTCATCATCAGTGAGGGTGGAGCCAGGGGAAGGAGTGGGACCAGAAGGTGTCTGGTCCTGGGAGGCCCTATTTGGGTTTGTGCTGGTGGTCTCGAGCCTGGCCTCTCCAGGTCAGGGCTCCCCCCACTCCCTACCTGATTTTACCTGACCCCCAGGTAATCGGTGGTGCGGGGCTGGACGTGGACTTCTCCCTGGAGAGCCCGCAGGGCGTGCTGCTGGTCAGTGAGTCCCGCAAGGCCGAGGGCTTGCACACGTGAGTCAAGTCCGGCTGCCACCCTGGGTTCAGTTACAGCCTGCCCTCCCTGCGGCCTCGGGTTACCACCCTGCCTGCCCCCGGTCATGCTGTGTGTCCTGTGCGCAGGGTGGAGCCCACGGAAGCCGGGGATTATAGGCTGTGCTTCGACAACGCCTTCAGCACCATCTCTGAGAAGCTGGTGTTCTTCGAACTCATCTTCGACAGTCTCCAGGACGATGAGGAGGTCGAGGGCTGGGCTGAGGCCATGGGCTGGGCTGATGCCGTGGAGCCAGAGGAGATGCTGGATGTCAAGATGGAGGACATTAAGGTGCGCCCATGGCCACCTCCTGAGACCCCCCTTTGTCTGAGCCCACACTTCTGGGGTGAAAAGGAATCATTACATCTCAGTACGCTCACGGAGGGCACAGAGGTTCGGGATGGCTGAGGACTTACAAAGTCACAGCAATGAGCAACCAAACCCAGACCTCTGTGTGTGTGTGGGGGGTGGTCCCAGCTCCTCATGACCTCCTAGGACAGAGTAGAACTGCCCTGTAGTTTCCCAAGGCTGTCACGCCACGGACGCTGACTGGCGGCTTTGTCCTGTGACACTTCTGGTTAGCAGCGAGTCGCTTTAACCGCCACACCACCAGAGCTTGCTGCTGGCAACCAGCAGAACTGAGATTTGAATTCAGGCAGCCTCCAGCAACTGTCCTGTTAAGCAATACTATCTGCTTTATGTGCACTTAATTCTCAGGGTAGTTTAAGTGGAGAGGCCACTGGAGCCCTGCCAGGTAAAGGGACTTGCTCACAGCCAGGTGTGCGGTGAGGATTCCGTCTTGCCCCCCAGTCCCTCTCCTTGGATCCCCTGGCTGCTGCCTCAGTCCCTGCTGCCCTTTCTGTCCCCAGGAGTCCATCGAATCCATGAGGACTCGGCTGGAGCGCAGCATCCAGATCCTGACCCTGCTGCGGGCCTTCGAGGCCCGGGACCGCAACCTGCAGGAGAGCAACCTGGAGCAGGTCAACTTCTGGTCAGCTGTTAACGGGGCTGTGCTGCTGCTGGTGGCCGTGCTGCAGGTGTGCACGCTCAAACGCTTCTTCCAGGATAAGCGCCCGCTGCCCACGTAGCCACCACCTCAGCCACGTCCAGGGGAAGGCAGGACACGAGAGCATGTGGAGTGTGGATCTGCGGGTCCCTACCTCAGCTTCGTTTCCCACTGGAAGGGAGGCCACTTCCAGGCTTGGGCAGGGAACACTCCTGGCTTGCGGGCCTGGGCCCTCCCCGGCTGCTCCCTGGAAATCGGGCCTGCTGGGCTCTGCAGCGCTGGAGGGCTCTCTATTAACCATGGGACACATGTCCAGCGCTCTGCAAGGCTCCTGCCTTGATTCCTGTAAATGTGCCTTAGCCCGAGCCTTCCAGTACCAGCAGCAGGGCCAAGGAAGCGGATCTCCCTGCCTGTCCCCACTGGGCCAGATGAGGGGACCCAACTGTTGTGGAACCCCATGCCTGCCTGTCTGCCTGGTCTTGTCTCCCCATCAGAGGCTGATGGGGACAGAAGCTGGGCAGGGCAAGGCCTGGTCCTGCCAGGAGCCGGAAGGAGACAAGGCCGCAGAATTCTTGCCAGGACAGTCACTTTATTAGGCAGCAAGGGGCCAGCCCTCAGCCCAGCAGGGGTAGGGGAGGTCTAGTAACTGTCTCAGAGGGAGGGCCTCGAGGTCCTCCACCCTCCTTTTCCCTGTAGGGGTCCCACACAATGCTGAGAGTGGCCTGGCCAGAGCCAGCACAGGTGCCTCAAGGAACAAAGGCTCTGGCCTGTGTGCCAGGGTCAATAAATTATGGTCAGAAAGCACACAGCCTGGTGACTGGGGCTCAGGGACATCAGCCAGGACAGACCTGGCCCCAAGGACCCGGGCCTGGGACCACCAGGAGGCGGGAGGGGTCTCCCACGAAGCTCAGAAGAAAGGTCGTGCGGGAGCCGATGGAGGTGGTCGCCTGGCACAAAAGAAACCAGAAAGCAAAGTTTGACTGGGTCTCTGGCTGGGCTGACAAGCCTGGGCCCCCCAGACTGTCTGGGGACTGTGGGACAGGGGTGGAGTGTGCAGTGGAGGGCAACCACTCCCTCAGCCATCAGTCCCCAGCCCTAGATCCCATCAGCCCTGGGGCGCATCCTGGGCAGCAGCTGTGCGCACACGTGTGATGTATATGTACTTGTGAACGTGTGAGTTCATGACGTGTACGTGTGTGTGCATGCACACCACTGCTGAGGAGTTAGGGCGAGGCAAAGCCCCCTGGTTCACTGCAGCTTTGTCTCTGGGAGTAAGGAGCCCTAGCCCTGCCCACAGAGCAGAGGAGTGAGGCGGGGGAGGCCTGTGGTGGGAGGGAGCACCAGGTCCTCTCCCAGTCCAGCTCCAGGGAGCACTCCCCCAAGTCCATACAACAGGCCCACACGGCAGCCTCCAGCGTCTTCCCTTTATTTAGTTTATGAACAGGATACAGAGTGCAGGCACTTACAGTGGTCAAACTGGGCAAGGTGTGGGCAGGTTTGCTCAGGGGCTGCCTGAGGCCCCGCCCCCCAGGAGGCAAGACTAGGTGGAGCCCAGAGAGCCCTCAAAGCCTCCCTAGCCACACACAGCCTGAGCCCACGTGCCTCGAGAGGCCAAAAGGGCTGAGCGGGGCCAGCAGGGCTGAGGGTTCCAGGCTGGCAAAGGCACCAATGGCAGCTGAGGCTGGGCCGGGCTCATGTCGTGTGGTTAATACAGACGAGGAAGAAATATGTACAGCTAGGGCCTGTGGGGGGCACCGGACCCTGGGGCAGAGGATCTTGAGACGTGGCCCAACAGGAAGTAGACACTTCCCAAGTCCCCAAGAGGCCAAGCAAGAACAAGGCCCCCGAGAGACCCCAGCACGGTCCCCCACGCCAACCTGGGTCCCTCCCTCAACGTGGCACCCAAGGTGCACATCCCTTCGCTACCCTGAGACCCCACCCCCCAAAGTGCAATGCCTCGCCTCCCCCAGTGGGCCCCAGGGCCCCTCGTTCAGTGGTCAGTGTCCAGCGGGAGCAGGGCCAGGCCAGCACCATCTGGAGCGAGCTGGGGAAGGGATGGGCTGCCCACAGGGGCTGGTCCCGCAGAGGGCTGGGAGGACCGGGGCAGCGGAGGGGCCCAGACCACCGAAGCTCCTGCATGGCGGGTGCATGAGGCCCCCGAGAGCATGCCCCCCGCAGCCTAGTCGAGCAGGGATGGCTCGGCTGGGCGGATTATGGTGGGCCGGCTGGGTGCAGCAGGGGGTCTTCTGCTGCAAAGAGAATAGAGACAGATGGGGAGGGGGAGAGGGCAGTGAGGCCAGGATACAAGGACCCAGGCCCGTTCCCCTGGACCGGGCTCCCACTTGGCTTGCTCATGGCACGAGGCTCACCAACTCCTGGGGCCTGGCCCTACTCCAGAGGCAGCTTCAGAGGCCCTCGGACCCAGGTGGCCACCCCCCACCAGTTTGCTGGGATCTGAGAGAATCCCCCTACACTCTGGGGGCTCCAGGTGCCTCGCAGAAGTAGGGAAGGGAAAGCCTGGCCCACCGAGTGGGCAGAGTCAGGGATGCTGATGCTCACTGTAATCAGTAAGGGAAGAAGGTAAAAAGCAGATGTTCCACGTGAAGTCCAAGCTGTGGGAACCCTGACTAGGGCAGACCACCAGGCCTGGGAACCCCAGAGTCGGCCCTGACCACCCAGTACCAGCTCTGTACTGGGAACAGAGCTTGGTCTCTGAGCCTCCATTTCCTCATGAGCCTAATCCCAACCCCCTTATGTTGTGAGCTGCCGAAGTGACACTGGAGCCGAGACATTGGGGTGCAAGTGGGGTGGAGCACGCCTTACCTGGGCACTCCAGGCGGGATGCCAGGTGGGATCCGAGCCGGCCGTGACGGGATCTGAGGCGGGGCTGAGAAGGGGTCATTGTTGGCAAACACACTCTGGGGGCCAGGCCGGGATGGGATGGGGGGAGCTGAGAAGGAGGCTGCTGGCCCCACTGGTACGGGGATCAGGGGGGGACCCGGAGTAGGACCCCGCACTGCTGGAGGCCGGCCTGGTGGGTGCCCAGCGGATATGGGTCGGCGCTGTGGAGTAGGGCTGTGGAAGGAGAAGAGGGGTGAGTTGAGGGGAGCCCAGAGAAGCGGGAAGCTGGCCCCGGCTGTCAACTGGGAAAAGCTGGTGTGGACGCAGCGTTGGGTGACAGCATCACATGTGTCCTGTCCAAACTCCTCAGCCTCTGCCCCCAGCCAGAGCCGGAAGCCTGGGCCCGAGACCTCCACTGCAATCCCCACCCAGCTCTGCTCCAGCCCCGAGGTCTTAGTGGCGCTGGTCCCATCCAGGAATTCCCTGGCCTTCCACCACCTCTAGTTTCCTCAATGTCAGGCATTGCTGGGATCTAGACAGTCAAATGCCTTTGCGTAGCCAATAAAACATAGACAGCCTTCTGGTATTCTCTGCTTTCGGCTAAGATCCATCTGACATCAGCAGTGATATCCCTGGTGCCACAGCCTGACTTTTTGGCCGTTCTCTGTCAATGTACTGTTTTACTATAACCCTGTCTGCTGCCGACACCTCACTTCCCCGTCAGTTCTGGGGTGGGTGGCGGGTTGTAGTTAAACCCTCCCTTGTCCTGCTCTCTCCCATCCCCATTCTCGGTCCTGTGGCAGGAGGCTGACCTCATTGGTTAGCATCAGCGGGGCCACTGACCTTTGGCTTTAACCATGTGGAAGGTGAGAGAAGGGCAGAGGACCCGGGGTGAGGGGTTGTTGAGGGCATTCCTACAGAGCTCCTGTGGCCCTGCTGGGTAACCCTTCGTTCCGCTCACACCTGGCACTTCAGCCACTCCTGCCCCTGTCCCTTCAGGCCCAGATGGCAGCTGCTCCCACTGTGGCAAGCGTCGTGCTCCCATCATTCACTGTGGGTTCCATGGGTCCTACCCACCCCCGGCTGGTGCCTGCTACTTTCTGCCAGGCCCGGGCAGGGCACCGGGGAGAGTGGCTGCCCGGCTTCTCGCACCTGTGACTGCTGGTGTTCTGGAGCCAGGTGTCGTCGACAGGTGGGGGCATGGGTGTGGACACAGTGCTGGTGCTTATGTCTCCAATGATGCTTAGTGCCTCCTTGAGCGCGTGGTACATACGCAGCATGTCGTCCCGCCGCTGGGCCTGGTCCGCCGACTCCTCCATAAGGCTGTTCTGGTCTGTTGATGATGAGTACAGGTAGGCCAACAGCTCATGGTGGATGAAGGCTTTTGTCTGGGGAAAAGAGCAGGACGGGTCAGCCTCATGCAGGGCCACACCTGCCGTGCCTGCCAGCTGGCTCCTTTGACTGGCTGGGAAAGTGGCCACCACACCTAGGAGGGCTTTCTTTGTTATGCTTTATAATGTGGAGGAGCCCTGCTGGTGCACTGGTTAAAGCGAACCTCCGGGTCAGTGGCCTGAACCTCGCAGCCACTCGGCTAAAGACAGAGGAGACTGCTGGCGTCCTGACAGACTTACGGACTGGGCTGCCCCACGGGGAACCTCTCTATTGTCCTTGAGGGTCACTGTGAGTTAAGACTCAATGGCAGTGGATTTGATGTCCCGTGTTTAGGGGTCCTCTCAGCCCCCTTATCTTAAGAGTGCCCTAGGAGCAGAAGATTTCAAGTGCTCTTTCCCAAGGATCTCAGAAGATGCCTTCGAAACCTACTGCTTGCATCTCATGGAGCTCTGGTGGCCTTGTGCTAAGTAAGAACTGCCAACCTGAAGGCACGCGATTCAAATCCACTAGCTGCTCACAGGAGAAAGAGTGGCGGTCTCCTCCTGTGTCATTCACTGCCTCTGGGAGCCCCTGGCGGGTCAGCTGTGGGCCAGTTTCCACTTGATGGTCCGTCTCCGTCACCGTCGTCACCACCACCACCACCACCACCACTAACATCTTATCTCTTTCCTTGCTATCTTTTTGTCTCATATTTTCTCACTGCTTTTTTTAGTTACTTTTCTTGTCGGGTCCAGGTACAGAAACTCATCTTCTGCAAACAGGATTAATTCTCTGTATGATTTTGACATTGTACAAACAGATTTGTCCTGGAAAGGGTTAAACCGGGCGCCTCCTTGGAGGCAAGGTTTCTGAGGCTCCGTCTAACATACTTTGGACATGTTGTGAGGAGAGACCGGTCCTTGGAGAAGGACATCATGCTTGGGAGGGTGGAGGGACAGCGCAGGAGAGGAAGGCCTTCTATGAGGTGGATTGATTCAGTGACTGGGATAATTGGGATGGGAGTGTCAGAGACAGTGCGACTGGCAGAGGACAGAGCGGAGTTTAGGGATGTTGTACATAGGGTCGCTATGAGTCGCAGGCGACTCGACGGCACATAACAACAACAACTAACAACATGATTTTGAACTATCCAGAAGCACCATGTTGTGAATGAACATCACAGAGGACTTCATAGAGTCCAATTTCTCGAATAATTTGCTCAGCATAGAGACTGACTAGGTATGGAGAGAGAAATCAATCCTGACGCACCCCATTCTTAAGGAACAATGCAGTGTTCCCCTGCTCTGTTTGCACAACAGCTTTCTGGTCTAGGTATAGGTTTCATATACGCACAACTAAGTGCTCTCAGATTCCCATTTTTTCTCAATGTTAGACATAACTTGTTACAATCCACACAGTCAAATGCCTTTGCATAGTCAATTAAGCGTAAGAAGACATTCTTCTGCCTTGCTTTACTTTCAGCCAGGCTCCATCTGATATCAGCAATGACATCCCTGGTGCCATGGCCTCTTCTAAATCCCACTTGAACTTTTGGCAGTTCCCTATCTGTGTGCTAGTGTTCTAGCTGTCTTTGAATGATCGTCAACAGTATTTTGCTTGCATGGGATATTAATGACATTGTTTGATAGTTTCCACATTCTATTGGATCACTGCAGCCCTGGATGCTCTCACCAGTTTATGCCAGGAAATTTAGAGGATAGCTGTCTGGCCAACAGACTGGAAGAGGTCCGTATTTGTTGCCATTCTCAAGAAAGGTGATCCAAAGGAGCTCTGGTGGTCTAGTGGCAAGAAGCTGCACTGTAATCCCAGAGGTGGTGGTGGTGGTTGTTATGTGCCATCGAGTCGCTTGCGACTCACAGCGACCCTATGGAAAACAGCCCTAAACCCTGCTCTATCCTGTGCCAGTCTCACTGCCTGACACACCCATCCCGATTACCCCAGTCACTGAATCAATCCACCTCATGGAGGGTCTTCTCCTCTTGTGCCGTCCCTCCACCCTCCCAAGCATGATGTTCCTCTCCAAGGACCTCTCCCTCCTTATAACATGTCCAAAGTATATCAGACGAAGCCCCAAAATCCTTGCCTCCAAGGAGCAGCCTGTTTTAACCCTCTCCAGGCTGAATCTGTTTGTTTTCCTAGCAGTCCATGGTACCCTCAATAGTCTTCTCCAGCACCACAGCTCAAAGGCATCAATTCTCCTTCTATCCTCCTTAGTTACTGTCCAACTCTCTGATGCATAACAAGTGACAGCAAAGACCATAGCCTGTATCAGATGCACCTTAGTCTGCAGAGTGACATCACTGCTCTTCAGTACCCTGGAGAGGTCCCTAACAGCCGACTTTCCCATCGTAATACATTTTTTTGATTTCCTGGCTGCTGGTGCCAAGAGTGTTGACCGTGGAGCCAAGCAAACTAAAGCTGTTAATAATCTCAATCTCTTCACCATCCATCCTGATGCTGCCAATTGGTCCAGTGGTGAGAATCTTTGTCTTCTTGACATTGAGCCTCAGTCCATACTGAAGGCTGCAGTCCTTGACCCTTTGCAGTAAGTGCTTGAGGTCCTCCTCAGTTTCAGCAAGCAGGGTTGTGTCATGTGCATAATGCAGATTGTTGATAGATCTTCCACCAATCCTGATGCCACACTTCTCCTCATAGAGCCCAGCCTCTCGGATAATCTGCTCTGCATACAGGTTGAAAAGGTATGGAGACAGGATGCATCCCTGGTGTACGCCCTTCCCAATTTTGAACCATGCAGTGTTGCCCTGCTCTGTTCTGACAATTACCTCTTGGTCCAAGTATAGGTTTCGCATTAGAACGATCAAGTGTTCTGGGGTTCCCATTCTTCTCAGAGTCAGCCACAGTTTATTATGATCCACAGAGTCAATCCACCGGATGCTCTGCTGGAGAAGGAGGGGCAATCTCCTCCCGTACCAGTCAGATCTGATTTGACGGTACACACAAAAAATAGTAACATTAAAAAAAAAAAGGAAAAGTGATCCAGTAGAATGTGGATACAAAGGTAAAGGGTAAGAAAACATAAAAAACGGTTGTCAGAAGAAACCCTGAAATCTGCACTGGACCAAAAAGAAGGCAAAACAGAAGTGAACAGAAAATGTCTAAGGGCAGCTTAAGAAGACAAAACAAAGTATTAATGAAAGGTGCAAAGAGCCGAGTCAGGAAACCAAAAGGGAAGAACATGTTTGGCAGTTCTCCAATTGTAAGAACTGAACAAAAATTGAAACCTTAAGTTCCAGGATTTTATGGGCAATATCTTAAACAATGCAGCAAACATGAAAAGAACATGGAAAGAATACACAGAGTCACTGTACCAAAAAGAATTAGTAAACATGGAACCATTTCAGGATTACATTTCAGGATTATATGGTCAAGAAGCAACACTAATGAAGGAAGAAGTTCAAGCTGCACTGAAGGCATTGGCAAAAAAATAAGGCCCTAGGAATTGATGGAACACCTCCTGATATGTTCCAGCAAACAGATGCAGCCTTGGACATGGCTGTGCCATGAAATTCAGAAGACAGCTACGTGGTCAACTGGTTGGATGAAAGCCTGTTTGTTCTTCTTTCAAAATAAAGGACATCCAACAGTATGTAGAAATGATCAACAATATCATTAACATATGCAACTGAAACCTTGCTGAAGATTATTCAAAAACGGCCAGACCAGTACGTCAACAGTGAACTGCCAGAAAGCTGGACCTGATCAGAAGAGATTGTGGCAAACCCTGACATAGGGCCAGATAGCAAGTCTCTCCCTGTGGGGCGTGGCAGGAGTGGGGTGCAAGCTGCGACGGCCAGTCATAGCAGAACAGGTCTTTAGAAAGTTTCTTCCCCTTGTTGACTGAGCATTGGTGGAAAGCAGTGCAGCTGAAACTGTAACCATAGAAGGCATTACACTTCCAGAAAAAAAATTTAAAAAGTGTAATTTCCATTTTATTTTCAGATGAGTTTTTTTCTTCATCCTTTAAGGATTCAAATCCTTCCATGGGCTTTGGTGGTGGTTGTGGGGCAGCACACCTGCAGGTCTAAATCTGGGTGGAGGTGTCCGGTCCTTCTGGGCTTCCCAAGAACGGTTCCTCACAGCCTTGCTGGGAATGGCACGGCTCCCACAGAGTGTAGTTTCACACAGAGCTTTGGAAGCACGCATGCGTCGAAGACACTCGCTTAGGAAATATCCCTGACGGCAGCTTTTTATTTTTAATCCAAAATTCTGTTTATTGAGATAATTTCCATTCATCTTGATTTTTTCCCCCCTTAATTCTGCTTCCGTCTGAAAGAGCATCCTTCTGTAAGCCTTGCTTTTCCTCCTGTAGGCTGACAGAGAAGAGTGGAGCAGCCAACACACAAAACTACTGTTTGGCATGGCTGAAGATCGTGGTGATTTTATAGCATCCTGGACATTTCGTATCCATGAAATAGGAATTCGGGCTCTGCACCAGGCGCTTCTTCTTGTGTTTCCTCTACTCCTCTTCTGGGGAGGGATGAAGGAGATCCTTTGCGAGAGGCTTGTTGGCACACGGAGGCCACAGTCGGAAAGGAGCCCTCTGCTATATTTAGAATTACCAACTTCTTAATTGCCTTGTCTTTGCACGCACCGAGCACAGTTCGTGTGAATAGGCTGCACGTGGCCATGTCCCTTTTTGGCACGACCGTGTTTCTCCTTTTCTTTGTCATGTTGGAAGCGAGGGTCTGAGAGAGGCAGAAAAATCTTAAGGAAAAGTATTGCAAGCAGTACTCGTAGCAGCTGTTGGATACAGATACAAAGGAAAAGGTGGAGAGATTACACCAGCTAGTGTGAAAGTTCTTCTCCCAGATTATGGAGGCACTAAAGTAGTTACAGATGACAAGGATTCTTTCTTATTCAGAGATGGTGACATTCTTGTCAAGTATATAGACTGAAAAAAAGCCCTTTTGAAATGGCACCACTTGAAGCTGCCCATTCCATTGAAGTTCTGAAATCTTCCATCATGTAAAGAATCCATGTCTCCCTTTTGTAATAAAGTAATGACATTAAAGGAGAAAAAAAAACACCAACAACCCAAAACCACTATTCATAGACCAAAATGTTAGTCAAACAGAAGAAAGGAACACAGCATGGATTACAATCAGAAAGGCGTGTGTCAGAGCTGGACCCTTTTTCCAGACCTTCTGAATCTGTAAACTGAACAAATCATTTGCGAAGCTGTCAACCATATGGAGAAGAACATGCAGTCAGGACTGGAGGAAGACTCGGCAGCAGCCTGCATTATGCAGATGACAGACATAACTTGGCCTGAAGAAAGGGAAGAAGACTTGAAACACCTACTGCGGAAGACCAAAGACTACAACCTTTGATACGGATTACGTCTCAACATCAAAGCAAAATCCTCAGCACTGGAACAAGAGGCAATATTGTGAGCGATGAAGAAAAGATTGAAGTTTTCTATAATTGCATTGTGCTTGGATCTACCGTCAACACCCATGGTAACAGCAGTGAAGGAATCAAGATACACTGCACTGGGCACTGGGCAAATCTGCTGTCAAGGTCACCCCTAACTGAACCTACGCAGAGGTGCGTCAGAAGACAGGCCTGGCAACGTGCTTCCAAAGAGCCCCAGCCTTGCAAAACCCAGGGGAGCAGGTCAGCTCTGCACAGGCGGGGTCACAACTGACTAACAACAAGAACATACAAGCACATAGCACAGGGCACGTGCTCCCACGGGGGCACAGTCATGTGACTCCCACCTCAATTTCCCTACACAGGCGAAGCATCCCGGCTGACTCAGGAGCAGTGGTGCCGAGTTCTCGTTTTCGATTTCATGTCACGTGTGTCCTGGCCAAGTTTGGCTCTGGGCTGCCTGCTGGCCACCACTTGTGACCGGCGGGGAGGGTGACAGGGACTCACGTTGTTGATCATGAGGTGCATGATGGTCTTTGGCATGAGATCGCGGATGGACTTGTTGATGATGGCCACGTAGGAGTCCACCAGGTTGCGGATGGTCTCCACCTGGCGCTCCAGCTGAGGGTCCATGGAAGAGAAGGTGTTCTCCTGGGCCCCGTCCTCGTTTTCTGCCTACAAGGAGGGAAGGGGAGCGGGTGAGGGTGACTCTGGCCTGAGGCGAGCGTGGTGCAGCCCCTTCCTCTGGAACTGCTCTCCCTGCTCCACAGCCGCTGACCCTCCGGGACTGGCCCTTGATGGCGATGGCGATGGCCCACCACTGAGCCTCGGGCCAGAACTGGGCTGGGCCCTTTCAGCCGGAGATTAGAGCCGCAAGCTCACTGTGGGCTAAAGAGGGTAATAGTTTACTTCACTTCAATGATGGTAAAATGACAACAGGTTCCCAGGCCTTTCTGTGTCCCCACCCTGGGCACTGGTCACAAACGCCCCTTTGGTGTCACTGGTGTGAGTGAAATTCTACTCAGGGTCCCCCACAACCACAGAGGGCTGGCCAACATGGGGCTGGAACCAGCTCTCCTGGGAGGGGTGAGCTCTGCCCAAGGTGCATGGGCCTGGCAGCCAGCTCCTCACCTGGTCCTTTTCGGGGTAGACTCCAGCTCGGAGGAATGAGGCCTTCCAGCTGTCCACATCCTCCTGGGAGTCACAGGCCAGCTCAATCTGTCGCAGGTCCTTGTAGACATTCCTGCGGTGGACAGGAGGGACACAGAGCTGACTCTGCCTGTGGGACTAACGGGCCCTGCGTGGTGCTGATCTGGGGTCATCTGGATTTGGAAGGAAAGCCTGATCTAAGTCTTCAGAAGCTGTCTCGTCTGGGACACGAGGATGGCACGAACCGCCTGCGTCTCAGCAGACAAACGGCACTGTGCGTGATGTGTGTGTGCATGTGTGCAGCGCTCCCCTGGGACGAGAGCAAGTGAAGGGGCGCCCATGCTTTATAGCATCTGGTGACTGAGAGTTCTGTTCGCTCGGCCATGCTCTCCTGCCTCTGGGAACAGCTCACCCCCTGCTCTGTACGCCTCTGTAATGGTACTGCCAGCAACCCCAGGAGTGAGTGTCCTACAAAACCCTCCTTTGGCTGGAAAATGTCCACCAGGAGTCATCAGCACAGAACTTTCTACAACGGCAGAAGCATCCCCTTCTGTGCTCTTCAATGTGGTGGCCACAGGTGACCAATGGCCGAGCAATGTGACCAAGGTGGTGCATTTTTTTCTTTAGTGATGGTCAAGCAATTTATATTTAAATAGTCACATGTTTCCTGTGGCTACTGCACCGGACGCGTAGCGCTAGAACGTGCCCTCCTCCCAGCAGCAGGTGGGGACAGAGTGTGGCCAGGCTGGACCCAGACTTGGGGAGAGACGGAAATGTTTGGAAAGTGCTGGACTGTGAGCGAGAACAAGTTCAGAGGCACAAGTCGGGAAGACGAGCAGGATGGCCGTGCACTAATGTTCGTGGACTGTCCACACACCACACAATTTCTCCTCTGGGGTAGTGTGGCCAGGAGACTACCACAGAACCTGCCCGTGAGGCCCTGCTCTGAGCTAGGCATGGCCTGTGACTGGCCCATGAACTAGGTCATCAGTGAGTGGCACTTCTGAAAGAAGCTGGAATGGGAGGGTCCAGAGGGCCATCATGGTGGCAGGAGTGTGGGCAGGCATCCCGGACAAGGAAGCAGAAGCTGTGTGTGCTGAGGAAGGTGGAAGAACAGGAATGTAGGGGTCCAAATGTGGTTCGAGGTCAAGTCCAGGCTTCACAAGATTTGTGATGGCTTGTCTCGTTCCCCCACAGCCCAGGGAGTCCCAGCCTCGGGGACAGGAATAAGGCCCAGTAACCAGCCTAATCCTCAGAGAGCCAGATGTCCCACTTGTCCACTGCCTCTTGGTGGGGCCAAACCCTGAAGAGGTTTTCTGAGCCAGCAGCCTCCTACACTGGCCCTGAGCTGTAGGCCAACCGAGTACAAAGCAGGACACAGATGTCCTCACGCAGCCCGGAGGGGAAAGAGGCTCTGCAGGAACAGACGGACTCTAAGGGCAGTGGGAAGGCTGCCCCTCCTTGCCAACTGGCGATGGGGGGGACACAGGCCTTTTCTGACAGGCTCCCTGAGGCAGGTAGCCTGGCTCCTGATCCGGGCCTGCATGGGCCTGGGAAGTGGACGTCTGGAATCTGCACTAGCTCTTCCCTCCTATCGACAGGCTCTCCCAAGCTGAGGGAGGTCCCTGTTCTCCATGGTGGACAGGCTCGTGGCCTCTCTCTGTCTCCACGTCCACTCCCCACAGGGAGCTCTGGTGGCGGAGACCATAAGGAGTTATGCTGTGGACCTAAAGGCAGGACTGACTGGGCGGTGTGACCCCACCACCTGCTCTGTGGGTGAAAGGTGGGCAATCTCCCGGGGGATATCAGGAGCCTCTGAAAACCCGCTGGAAGTCAGCAGAGTCGGTTCCAACTCAGCGGCAAAGACACGACCCCAATGATCTCCCCACTCTCAGAACCTGCCATCACCCTCACACAGTGACCACACACATTCACACCCCTGCTCCCTCTCTCCACAGGCACCCCCAAGCCCACCCTGCCTCCACCCTCTCCGCCTATGCTGGCGTCAGTGGGTCCCACAAGGGGCTCGGGCCCCAATCCTTTCCTTGTCACACCGACATCCACCAGGAGTCTGGTCAGACCACCCAGAGTCCACCCTGTACCCTCCCATGTTCTCGGCCCCACCCTGGTCACTCAGGCCTTGGTCATTCGCCTGGAACAGCGCCCGGGCGCCACCAGTGGCCAGGGGGCTTGTGAACCGTGGTGTGCAGGCTCGTCGGCCCTGACCACAGTCCTCCGTGGTGCCCGCTCACTACATCCTGGTCTCTGACCGCAGCAGAACTCGGCTTTCCCCTGCCTCATCTAGAACGTGTCCGGGCCGCTCACCTCTGCTCGGTATTGAAGATGGCGAAGATGTGCTTGGTGGACATGAAGCCCTTCTCCACGTCCCGGATTTTGAGGTTGTCCAGGGGCAGCATGTATTTCTTCTCCTTCTCCTGAGGGTGAAAGGGAGAGGAGTGACCCTGGACCCAAACTACACACCCCGCAGGGACCACCTGATGCTTCCGCTAGATCAGTTTACCTCTGCCAACCCCAACCTCCCGGCCTCGATGCACCAGACACCCCAAGACCTGTGCACAGCTGGGGCCTCTACCAGAACTTCCCCACAGCTCATCCTCAGCCCCTTCAGGTCCACGTGGGCCCACCCTTAACGACTCACATCCCTGTGCTCTCCACAAAAACTTCCCTTGCCCCCTTCAGGTTCCTGTGCCCCCTCAATGGCTCCCCTCGCTCCCTTCAGGTCTGTGTGTCTACCCAATGGCTCCCCTTATCCCCTTCAGGTTCCTGTGCCCCCCCCCCAATGGCTCCCCTCACCAACATCAGGTCTGTGTGTGCCGCCAGTGGCTCCCTTTACCCTCTTGGGTCTGTGTGTCCTCACATACGGCTGTCCTTGCCTCCTTCGGGTCTGAGAGCCCTTCCCACACCGTGGCTCCTCTCGTCCCCTTCAGCTCTCCTCACCCCCTTCAGGTTCATGTGCATCCCCCCCCCCAGCTCCCCTCGCCCCCTTATTGTCCGTGTGTCTCCCCCCACAGTTCTCCTTGCCCCCTTCGGTCCGTGTGCCCCCATACACAGAATGACACTGGCAAGGCCTGCGAGGATTCCCCCAGCCCCACCCGTCTACATGACCGACTCAACAACATCTCAAGGTCAAGGACTCTTTAGTTTGGTGCTGACACACAATGCTCAAAATTGCTCAGCTCTGCCTATCTGCACCCAGAATCCAACCTCCCTCCTCTCCTTATTGGACACAGAGTTCCCTCAGTCACCTCAGAAGTGCCCCTTCCTGACAGCGGGGCACCTACTCTGTGCTGGGCCTGAGCCCCAGGTGCTGCTGGGCAGTGGGCTCAGAGGGCTGCCCTGACCAGGAGTGGGTGCCCATTGGCTCCAGAGCCTCACACCCACCAATGAGCTCCTCTTGTGTTCCTGGCTGGGGGACCCCCACGAGGTCCCCACGACACTGCAGCACCACGAGCTCAGAGGGCTCGAGGAGAAAAGCTTGGAGCCACCAACCTCGTGCCAGGTGGAGGTGGACATGGCGGGGAGGTGGAGCCCGTGTCCGCCCCAGTCAATGTTCACGCACCGCCAGGCCTTCCCTTCCTCCCTTGTGGCTCTGGGGCCACCTGGCAGGTCTGGGCAAGGAGGAAACAGCGCAGAGGGGCCGGGGGCCTTGGACACAAGGGGCTCCCATGCCCAGCCATTCAGGCTGTGTGGCCCTGACATGGTGGGAAGGCAATGAAGAAAGGCTTGAGGAAAGCAAGGCCCTGAGCCCCTGCATGGAAGTTTCTGGAAGCGCTGTCACTGCTCTGCTCTTGTGTTTTGAGGCAGGAAGCTACCAGATGGCTGTTGGGGGCCAAGTAACTGACTCACAGTCCGTTCTGGTCCCGAGCGAGACACCACATCTGGAAGTGTTTATATTACAATTCCGCCCGCAGCTCGGCTGACACTATCTTCCTGATGTAGTCTCTCTCTCTCTCTCTCTCTCACACACACACACACACTCTCTCTCTCTCTTACATACGAGTGCATGCTTCCCGCCCCCCGCCCCAAGAGTCCTCCCCTGCACACAGAGGCCGCGGACCCCAATGCTCCATCCCACCCATACCCAGCCACCTCCCACCCCCTCCCTAGGATTTCCTGAAAACCCTAACTTTCTCCAGATGCGGGCGGCCCCAGACACGCCACGTCAGAAGAGACGGCGCAGCCGGCGGGAGAGGAGCAGGGCCTAGTGCAACCACGGCCCTGGGTCTGGGGGGCCGGGGCCCCCAGGCAGAGAGCCGGCCCAGCCAGCCCAGTGTTCAGACTACCTGTTCAGGGGTTCTGAATGTGTACAGTAGTCTGCACATTGGTTAGGCTGGGCTCGGGCAAGCAGCGCCTCGGTAGGGCCCCTGCCACCCCCAAATTCTGACAACAAAGTCGACCCAGAGGTGAGTGTCATCACCCAGCACCCCACTTCCCACCAGGGTAGAGATTCCAAGGGATAGTGAAGACAAGGGTGGGGGAGTGGCCCCAGAGGGGCACAAGGGAGCTCTGGGGTGAGGGGGGCCATCCCAGCCGCCTTCATGCTGTACCCGCTGCCTCGCGTTTATTTTTTGAATAAAGACCTCCTGACGGCCTGCTCTCTCTGAGGCTTCTCTAAGGAGAGGGGTCCGACCCGGGTGGCGGCGGCATGTGTGACCCGGAGGCCCCTGCTGGGGACAGCAGCGTGGGCAGCGGGCTGGGCCTGGAGCCTGCTTTGTGTCTGGGCCACACACGTCCCCTTCCAAGGGGCTGCTGCTTCTCATTACCTCCTCCCCACACGCCCTGCCTCCTGTCTGGGCTGCCGGGCCTGACTGAGCCCCGAGGACGGACCCCAAGCCTCTCATCACCCCCAAGAAGCTCCTGAAAATGGGTCTGCAGTGCTAGTACCTCAACCCCCACCCTGGGCCCCCCATAATGCCCCCACCCCAGTTCCTCCTGACAGCTGACGTACCCCAGAGCAGTCTGGTTCCAGACTGCAGGGCAGAGAGAGGAGGTGTACGCAGGCGTCACCCTCACCACTCCATACCCGGCCATTTCCAGGAGTGGCTGTGGCCTGACCACAGCTGGTCCCAGCGTGCCGCCCATCCCGACTCTGGAAGGCCAGGGCGGGCCTCCCTGCACCACAGGGACCCCAGAATGTTCAGAAGAAGCAGTTCAGTCAGTCTCTCAGCAGCTCATCCGAAATAAGATGACCCCCCCCCCTCAGCCGCGGCCATACAGTGTGCCCCCATGTGAGGCCCAGGTCAGAGACACTCACCCACAGATGTTGGGGTACCTCTCAGGGCAGAGTCCACTCCACTCAGGGGCCCCAATCTACACACGTGAGGGCCAAGCACGAAACCTCCCTCTGTAAGTGCTTGTCACAGAACTCTTACCAGTCCCACTTAGTGGAGCCCAGGGCCTCCCCTGGGCTGCTGACATGGCCCCTGTCAGGACAGTGACAGGCCACAGCAGTGGGCCTGAACAGCAGCACGTGGCCCCGAGGGCCCCCAGCACAAGAGGTGCAGACACTCCTCTGATCACCAGGCTTTTCTTCCTGGTCACCTCTGGGTGGACCCCAGCCCCGACCACACGGTGAGCAGCTATCATGGACTTGCCTGCGTCACCCAGGATGCCGTCCGATCAACAAGAAAACGTGCAAAGTCTTTCCAAGGCGAACACTGCAGGGAAGCAACTCCCAGTGGTGGGGGCCGTTCTACCATGCAGCATTAGAGCGGGGGCGGGGGAGGGAAACTGAGGCCTGGAGAGGCAGGGGCCTGGCTGCAGAATCTGTTCCGGGCCTGGGCTCTCCAGCGGCAACGAGGCTCTTGGCGTGGCCGTGAAGGCTGAGACCATTCTCCAGCCCTTCAGGCTGCTGGTGGCTCCCTACATCAGCCCAACCTCCACGGGCCAGCGTGAGCTGGAACATGATGCAAAGTGCCTGGTCACTGTCACTGGCCTCCATGACCCTACTGGAGGCCTGAACACATGGGCACGGCGGTGCTCAAGGGACATTTCTGAAGCGAGCAGCCCGCGTAGGCAACGTGTGTGTGTGTGGGGGGGGCATGCACGCCCCTCATCCTGAATTGGAGGAGCTACCTCGCTAGTCACTCACCTCCTCGTCCTTGTACCAGGACAATGACTCGGCGGTCAGCACGAACCAGTACTCCTTGGAGCCGCCCTTCATCAGGCTGATGTTGTTGATGGTCAGCCAGCCTTTCCGGATCACCTGCAGGGGAGGAGGGGGCTCAGCGCAGGAGGGGTCCCGGCCACCCACACCCACCATCCAGTGCACACTGGTCTCCTGCAGCGAGTGAGGTGGGAAGCAGGGGACTGATGGGCAGAGACACTGCAGCCCCAAAACATTTCCTGCTGGGAAGTGGGGCTCCCAGAGCTAAGCCCTTAAACCCCTCAGATCACACGGCACCCTCCGCTCCAGGGGGCAGAGAAGCAGCCCCAACGGCAGTGTGCATCCAGAGGAGAGCCTGGCTGAGCCGGGGCCTGCTCACAGGGAGGGCGATCGTGGGGAGTCAGACGTGGTTTGGTGGGGTGTTTCTCAGGGACACTCTTAGGCCCTGTCCCTCAAGCCTGGTAGCTGCGGATAAGGTCTGAAAGAATCGCCCAAGCTACACAGCTCAACTTCCTCTCTGGGCCAAGCTCAGATGTGCTCAGTGGAACCAGCAGCTGCTCACCAGGCAGGCCTTGACTCCGCTGTCCATTCAGCTGACCTCGGCCAGTCACGGCACGAAGGTATATGGTGGAGGGGGGTCCTTACTAACTGAGGCATGCCCTGAGCCCTAGCTCCATTCTCAGAGCATCGGGATGGAGGGGTTCCTTGACTCACAGGGCTGGGGATAAAGGTATGCACTCTGACGCCCTCCCCAGGGGCCCTGGAGGGAACATGAGGGGTGGGGAAAACATCTCAATGGCTTCAACCTGGCAGCCACACTCATCTGACAGGATGGGGTTCACATGGCCAGAGCTGTCATCTGAGTGGGCAGGACTCAGGCCTATACTCACCTAAATTCATGTGGTTGGGGGCTGGACCCAGTGATAGGAGTCCCGGTGGCTGAGTGTGGACTGAGCCCCAGAAGGCCATGAAGGCTGAGGTGGCCACAGAGTGCCCCCTGGAAGTCCCTGCCCAGGCTGGGGACATGGCTGCCAGTGGTGGTGCCCCATGAAGGCTGAGAACCCAAGAGTACTCTCCTAGGGCACTGGACGCCGGGCATGGCTGTGGACTAAGTCCGCTGTGGACTCCTGGTGTCAGGGAGCAGGTTGTGATCACAACAGGGAACCGATGTCCACCGACCCTGCCTCAGTGGACAGGAACAGAGGCCATCAGCCCCAACAAGGCTAGGGCTTCTTCACTGGCATGGGGTGACGAGTCCAGTGTGCCCGGGACAGTGTTAGCTTTACCACAGAAAGACTCACGTCTTCCCCAAGCTAGGGGTGAAGTCTGGAAGCTCTGGGCAGAGCTGGGGCCACCACCTGCTCTGGGCTGGGTGCAGGGTACAGGGGCCAGGGCAAGAAGCCCCCCTCACCCCAGGCTGGGAGCTGTGGTCGCCATGTTCACAGTGGCTCCGGGTTGTCGTCCAGGGCCAAGTTCAGAATGGGTCTACACAAACTTCAGCTCAGCCTGACTGACCACAGGTGAGGGACAATGGGGGACAGGTCATCAGTGCTCCCCTCAAAGGAAAACCCATACACAGCAAGGGTTGCTGGCTTCTAAAGGGGCTGATGTGCCTGAGCCCTTTGGGGTGCCTGACCGTGCTGGGGGGCAGGTGGCTGCACTATCCACTCTTGCCAGGAACGGCACACCCCAATGTCAGGGCAGGACGTGATGGAAACTGAAGGCTGCCGGTCAGGCTTAGCAGAGCCCTGGGCGTCCTCTTGCTCAAGCCACCCCGAGAGCTGCTCACATGGGAGGCCAAGTGGGGTGAGGCATGACCCCCTGGTGGGCACTAGCTGAGGGTGGTGGACACAGGACCAAGCCTAGGAACAGGTAGAGGCCATTCAGCTTAGAGGGAGTGGGGCTGGGGCAAGGACTGCAGGCAGGGCCCATGCATCCAGGGGACACACGGCGCCGGCTGGGCAGGAGGGTGGGGCAGGAAGTGGCCCCCAGGAGGCTGGCTGGGCTCTCCTTGGAAGACTGTCTTGCTTTGGACGACCTGAGCAGGGGTGGAAACCACTCCTGGGAACCTTCAAAGCCATCACCGTAGCCCTGGAAGGGCCTGACTTGGCAGCCTCAGAACGGGGTAGGAACACAGCCGTGGGGACCACAGGAGAGAAGCTGTGTGCTGGGGCAGAGTGCCCCAAGGCTGACCGGCCAGCCTCAACCTCCCAGGGGCCCGGGCGGCCAGGCCCGCACACAGAACCAGCGTGGCTCCTGGCCAGGCCCCGAGACCACTGTGAGATCTAGTAAGAGGGCAGAGGTGGGGTCTTCCCATCACACCAGAGGCTGCTGGAGGAAGACGACTGGGGAAGCTGGTCCCCGAAGGGCTTGGCCCAGGCTGTGTCCTTTGAGGGGAGACAGGCTGACTGCCCAGAAGCAAGTACCCTGAAGTGTGCTCAGCCCCAGCGTGTGCAGCGTCATTCCTCACGGGCCACGTCACACCACACACCCTCCACGTCCCACTCCGGGCCTAGCAGAGGGCTCCGCACATGGGGAGGAGGTGTTACCTACAGCAGGGATGGCAAATACATCTCATCTGTGTGGCCACGCTGACTGACTGGTAGTAGCTGGCAGCAAGCACTGTGGTGGGAATTCTGGGCTCAGCAGAACTAGAGGCTGGGATCGTTTAGCGATGTATGCCATGGGCAAAGGTGGAGAGAAAGGGGGCAGCAGAACAGAACACCTTCACCAACTGGGCTGCCAGAGGCAGGAGGAGAGGAGCAGCACCCAGGAACGTGTGCCCTGATCCGTGAGTCGTGTCTGATGAGGGTGCAGTGAGGCCACGGGGTGGACAGTACTGTGCATACTGGGCCACCTCTGCCGCAGGATGAGGACCGGGGGCTTATCTGGGGAGGCCAGCCAGGATTGACTGCTGATGTCTACCACTTGCACATGGCTGGGCCACATGGGAAAGCGTGCTGGGTCAGTGAGCGCTGTCTGCCCGGGGCACAGGACAGAGGATCCCGCCTCCGGAGAAGCGTGCTCTAGGTCACTGAACAATGCCTGTCCTGGATACAGGGGAGGCGCCAGCGGTCCACAGGGCTTAAACGAATCTCCCGTGGGCTGGGACGAGGGCTGGGAGAGTGGCGTGTGAGTCCTGTATCTGCCATCAAGCCCTGCCTGACTGGGCACCTGCCGGGAACCAGCCAAGGTGTGGGGCCCGCAGGGCGGTGGTCAGGTTAGTGCCGGCGTAAGTCAGCGCCACGTCCAGGCCTGGCTGCGGGGTGCGGTCTGAGTTAGCTGGGTGTTTAGTTATTTGTTATTTCGAGGGGAGGGGGTCGGCAGGAGGTGGGCGGGGACTCCAGCACTACAGCATTCTCTAATGTTTGCTACCACGCTAAGTGGGTACTTACCAAGATCTCCCCCTTTGAAAACACAAGGTTAGGGGCGTGGGGAATTCAAGGAGGAGCAGGCCGAGGAAACAATATGTAAGGGACACGAGGGGACAGAGGAGGGGCGGGAGAAGCACAACAACAGAGGAGAAGAGCAGAGGGAAAAACAGCAAAAGAAAAAAAAAATTACATGCTATTAATTATATTCATGGTGTTAATATTTAATTAATTATCATCTCCTGAAACCAAAAAAGCAACGACATTATTACCTATGGCAAGCGCAAAATAAATTAAAAAATAAATTATATTAAATTAAAAAAAATCATGCAGTGGTTACATTTTTCTTTTTTCCAATGGGCCATATAATTGTGCAAGATAAAAAAAAAAGCAGAGTCCCCACCCTCCCCCGCCATGGAAAGGGGGAGATTGTTGCAGAGATTTTGTAAAGATGATGCATTTTCTTGAAGAGGGAGGGAGAATAAGAACCTGACTCTGGCCTTTAAAAAGTTGTTCCTAGCTCACAGGCCTCCTACTGGGGCAGGACACGGAGGTGGGAAACCTCTCCAGTGGGGTTCATTCAGATAGGGGCTTCGAGTCACCCCAGCCTCCTCTGATGAGAGGTAAGCTTGCTCCCGGCTGCGATCCACGCACGTGGGCTGGGCAACCCAGCGAGCTGGCAAACACCTTAGGTCACACTGCCCCTCCATTGAGAGAGTCTAGCCTGGACCCTGGATGTCACCCAGGGCCTCCGGAGGGCACTGGAGCTGCCCCCAAGGCCCCGCCAGAGCCGATTCCAGAGGTGGAGAGAGTGTGGGACCACCTGGAACTACAGAGTCGGCTTCGGGAGGGGCTTCCTGGGTGTCCCCAGCACCTCCCGCCCCGCCCCAGCGTGGAGAGGCGGCTGTAGGGTGGGCTACCTGGTTGGGGATGGCTCTCTTCTTGTTCAGCTGCGTGTTCCTCTGCTGGGCGCTGGAACCAAAGCAGAGAGATGGCTCATGTGAACAAACCCAGGAGGGCAAGAGGCGACTTCATGGCCTAGGGGGAGGTGGCTTTCTCCTGCATAGACCACCTGATGAGCTAGCTACAGGCAGAGGCTAAGAGGAGCCCCCAGTACACAGAGGGCTGCCAGAGGGAAGGTTGGGGGTGGGGGGTGTCTCAGAAACGCTAAGTTAGAAAATATTATCTGGTTAAGCTGAGGCTCTGTGGCCTCAGTCTTAACTACTCCAAGAAGCACCGGCCAAATCCAGAAGCCACAGAAGCCTTAGGTTGAGAAGGAAGCTGGACTCCCAGGTGGCTCGAAAGCAGCCGGGGAACCTGACCAAAGCGAGCTGGCGGGGCACAGAGGCTTCCTGCTGCCATCTCCGCCCACCCCGACCCAGTCCAAGGCTGAGGCAGCTGTGACCACTGGACTGTGGAGTCACGACTCCCCAATTAGGGGCCATCAGCTCAAGGTGACAGTCATAAAAATACGACCCAACCTGGACAGCTCCAGACCAAAAGCAGAGGACGGTCAAGATCAACAGGACATGCTTCCACAAGGTCCTGGCCTTGTCTAAGTCAGTCTCCTTTTCACCGCCATGTATTTCTCTGCTGGTAGACTGCATTTTACATGGGAACACCCACTCAATTCCCTTACAGGTTCTAAGGTGTTTTTCGGTGCTTGCTGGTAGGCAGTCTTATCTCGCACAAACTCTGTCTCTCTCTTGTTACTCAGGCCTCTTCTTTTCTTATCATATTGCTTTGGCTAAAACTTAAACTGGGTGAAACAGCCGATCATTTCCCTCATGTACTGACCACCTCTGGTGTTTCACCTTCACCTTCACACTGGCTGCTGGTTTTAGGGAGAGGAGCACACAGGCACATGTACACGTGTTAGGATAGGTTCCTCACCCTAGATTACTAAAGATTTGAACATAAGAGTAGATGTGAACTTTGTCCAAGGGTTTTCTTCATAGACAGGCTTTTTCTCTGGGCCCAACCGTATCCACAATGTTTACAGGGCAGCAAGAAGCTCAAAAAATAAAGCAGAGGAAGAGTTTGATCCCCAGTGAGTGAAGGAAGCAAACAGACCTCAGCTGGCAGCCACAGCAAAGGCCCAGCGCTACTTTCTCAAATCCTGCTGTCCTCATTCTTGCCAGCTCCCACAAACGGCAGCCTGAGGACAGTCTCTCTCTCTCTCCCACCTGGGCTCAACAATCAAATTCCACTGCTCCAGGGAGGGACAAGGGTGCTCTGGTGGCTCAGTGGTAAGGAGCTGCACTGCTAACCCAGAAGCACACGGTTCGAACCCATCAGCTGCTCCGTGGGAGAAAGATGGGCAATCATTTCCCATGGAATTAACTGCCTCTGCCATTAGCAGCCGCCTCTCTCCCCTCCACCCCACCACCTCGGTCAGCAGTGACCCCCACGTGGCTCCTGCTTCCCCTTTCCTTCCTTCCTTCTCCCAAGACTCGCCCACCTGTCACCTGGCTTTTGCCACGTGGCGTGAATGACACTCCTTGGTAAAGTCTTCCCTGGTCACGTCCTTTGCCCCCCTCTCCCACAGCCCTTCAGCGGCCCTTCATTCCAGTTCTCATCCTCCTGACAATCTGCTCAGCAAGTCCGGCTCCCCTGGCCTTCTGGAGAGGCCACACCTGGCTTAGCCACTACCCAGTACTACAGTCTCACACTATAGCTGTCTCGATACCTAACCAGTAGGCCTTGTGGCTGGGCTGGACATAGGCGGGCACCCCACACCCAGCCCGAGCGTCCCCACCCACACACCAGGAGGAAGGCACACAGCAGGCAATACCCACCCGGTCACCAGCTGCTCAGTATAGTAACAGCTGGGGTAATTGGGAAGGCCCAGGAGTCCAGAGGAAAGAGTGGAGTGGTCAAAGGAAAAACAGGAGAGATTGTGAGAAGGAACTGTGGATGAAGTGTGAGAAGCAGAGACATTAAGGTGAGGAAAACAGCAGCAAACCAAGAGGGGACCAGTGTGTCCAGGCTGCAGGTTCTGACTACTTGCCTGAGGCGGCTGGAGTCCAGCCAGGGCCCGGGACTATCTGGATTTGGGAGAAGCTTTGATCACACCCACTGGCCACCTGTCTGCTTGTTCATTCACTCCATTCACCTACTACACGTCGGCCACGGTGAGCACATCAACACGTGTTCCAGAGTGCCTCAGCCCAGCACTGGGCTCCACAGGCCTCTCCTCACGGAGGACACAGGGCGCCTCACCCACCACTCGCCACAGTGCATCTTAACTGCCCTGCGCACACAGGCCTGGACAGGGGACTTTTCTCTGAGGGCAGGAGGTGGCCCTGTCATCAAGTACCCGAGGAGGGGGTAGTGAGGGTTCTGTTGTGCTACCTCCTCAAGGCCTCTTGGCTCTCACCTCATCAGTACCCGACACCCACTGACGGCCTCATCTCCTGCCTGGCCCTCGTCATGGCACAGAGGGCGTGCCAACAGTATTTGCCAAATGTATCAAGAAGCTACTGACAGGCTCGCCTCCTGTCAGCCTCAGGTGGGGAGGGAGCTGTCAGAGCCTCTACAATGATCCACATGACCCCCAGGCATAGTGAAGGACCAACTGGCTGGGGGACCCCGGAATCCACCAGCATGGACATCTCCATGTGGGCCTCACACTGGTTCAACGGAAGGTTCTGGTTTGACCCTGAGAGGCCTGAGCCTCTGAGAGGCCTGCGCAGAGGCCACTGAGGAGAGGCCGTGTCTCAGGCCATGGACGCTGAGGGGGTCTCACAGAAAAGAACAAACACTGCTGACCACACACTTCCCAACCCCCTTCACTCCAGCACCATCTCTTCACCTGGCCACTAGGACGCCCTACAGAAGGCGCTCGGGGGACATCGGGAACTCGAAGAGCCGGGAAAACTTCCTGGTCCTGAGCCAGCAGTGGAACGCTCAAATGACACCACTGCGCTTCAGCCCAGGACCTAGCCCGGGAGGGAACCCAGCACGACCACCTCCCCCAGGGCCCTGGAAGGCACCGTGCCACCCCTCCAGCTGCTGCGTGAGAAGTACATACTTGGCAAATCCGATGAAGTCCTCGTGGTTCGTGTTGATGTAAGACTGTTCAATGTCGATCAGGAGAAGAACCTGGGGGAAGGGAGGAGTCCAGGCCTGAACACTCCCCAACCTGCCAGCAGAGGGCGCACAGAGCCCATGCTGCTTCCCAGGCAGGAGCCCAGCTGACCTTCCACCACACCCCTTCTGGGAGACCTACAAGGTGACGTGGGCATGGGTGCTTCAGATCTCGGTGCCCCCCGACTAGTAAGACTGAGGCAACAGAGCAGAGCAAGGCAGGGGATGGCCACCTGGCCGGAGTCATGGCCCAGAGCTGTGGAAAAGGGCCACAAGAGGCCCTGCCTCAAAGGGTTACGGAACGGGAGGGAGCCTCCAGGCGAATGCTGGACACACTGCATGTGAAGGTGATGTTGATTCGTGGAGTCAGAAGTGACTCATAGTTGACCACCCGGGGGTGGGGGTGGGGTGGGGGGCGGTTTCAGAGGGAGTAAACTGCACGGGAGGAGACCGCCCATCTTTCTACCACTGATTCGAGTCACATGCCTTTGGGCTGGCAGTGCAACTCCTTAACACTAAGAGCCATTAGATATATCATCATATTGCAAGTGACATACTAAAAATGCGAACACCATGGAGATTCTGGAGGGTTCCAATTCGATCTGGTCAAGTAAAGACACTGTGTGCACGCGCACACACCCCTCCCCACCAGTGTCCCACACACACACACACACACACACACACACACACACTCATTAACACAAAAATCCAGACTACCAGTTAGGTGTGCCTGATCCAGCCCATGGTCTCTGCAATTCCTTGCTATGCATCAGAGAGCTGGACAGTTACTAAGGATGACAGAAGAAGATTCGATGCCTTCAAGTTACAGTGCTGGAGAAGAGTCCTGAACATACCACGGACCGCCAAGAAGACAAACAGGTCTGTCTTGGAGAGAGTGAAACCAAATTTCTCGTTGGAGGCTAGGATTCTGAAGCTCCGTTTCACATACTTTGGGCACGTGGCCAGGAGGGAACAACCCTTGGAGAAGGACATCATGCTTGGAAGGGTGGAGGGACAGTGCAGGAGAGGAAGACCCCAGATGAGATGGGCTGATACAGTAACTGGGGCAATGAGAGTTGGTGTGTCAGGATGAGTGAGACTGGCTCAGGACAAGGCAGGCTTCAGATCTACTGTACAAAGAGCCACTATGAGTCGCTGGTGACTTGATAGCACGTAACAATAACAACAGTTAGTATCTCAGACAGGAACAGCTGTCAAACAACAGACGACTGCTAAACGCCCCTCCTTCTGCCATTCCCTTGGGACGACACCAGCCGCTGTGTTCAATGGCCCTCATGCCTTGATGGGTTGGTTCCAGTTAGGAATGGGCCAGGCAGCCTGGGAGGAGGAACTCAGGTGCGCTGTGCTGTGCACCCACTGGCCCTGGGCCAGTCTGTCTCTCTGTGGCTCAGTGTCCCCAGGAAGAACAAATGGTCAGAGCATTTGGCTCTCCAAGTGTTTCTGGGAAAATGCCAGGAGCTCGGCCCGGGGGACCCAGGGCACTGGATTGTTGGTAAAGACCTGGGGTCAGGCCTGGCCAGGCTGACAGGGAAGTCCCCGGAGCTGGGGTGCATTTGGAAGGGCAGTATCATGCTTTGGGGAAAAAACAAAACAAAGCGAACAAAAACCAAACTGGAGCCTCTCAAGTTTTCCAAACAACTTCCAGGCTCCCCACGTGAGGAGGGAAAGGCATGCGCTGACAACTCCTCGAAGGGAGCGAATGGCCAAATGTAGACTGTGGCACCGACGGCAAGCGATAGGGGCCATTATCGGCAAAGAGATGGAGCCACTAAAAAAAGTGCAGACTCACTTCATTTGGGTTCTGGTTTGAACAAACAACTGCAAACAAATGACAGAGAACCACTGAGAGGACACGACGTAGGGACCAGGTGCTGCTGGGTGACGTGAAGACTGCGAGCAAGAAAATGACTCCTGTGCGGTGAGCAGCGGTGACTCAAACATTGCAGAGAAGCAGAAGCACGTCTGGAGTTGGTTCCACATCCACCAGGCAGGTAAAGGTAAGAGAGAAGAGGACTGACAGGCGGGACCCAAAACGAGACGGTCCCCAAACCGGGAAGGGTCACAGGAGTGCGCTGGTCGACTCTAGCTTTGTCTTCCCAAGAAAATGAAGAAACAAAAGAGCACCCCCAAACGTCCTCTGAGGAGGACCTGAAATGCTTCCTGGAGATAAAAAACTACAGCCTTAAATATAGATTACATCTCAACATCAAGAACACAAGTCCTCACCACTGGTCCGAGAGGCAACACGATAGATGGAGACAAGATTAAAACTGGCAACGATGTCATCTTCTTGGATCTACAATCAACACTCTTGACACGAGCCATCAAAAACTCAAAAGACATGTTGCAATGGCAAAGTCTGTTCTCAGGGAGCATGATGCAATCACGGCAGGCAGGGTCTGAAAAATCACTGCTAGGAATCTCAGAACTGGACAATGACTAAGGATGACTGGAGAAGAATCGAGGCCTTCGAGCTGCGGTGTTGCAGAATAACCCACGGACTGCCTGAGAGATGACGCAGCCAGCATGCTCCTTGGAGGCCAAGGTGGGCAAACTCCACCTCACAGGCTCTGGGCATGTTGTAAAGGAGAGGCTGTTTCTTGCAGAGAGACATCATTCTCGGAAAGGTGGAGGGTCAGCCAAAGAGAGGAAGACCCTCGATGAGATGGACAGACACAGTGACTGCAGCAATGGGCTCAAGTGTGTCAGGGAGGACAAGGACAGTGCAGGACAGACAGGGGTCAGAGCTGTTGTCTGTAGGGTAGCAATGAATTGCACTCGATTTGACGGCACCTAAGTCCTCCAGCAGTGAATGCGTGACCATCTGGACCAATGAGAACAACTCAGAAGTCCACACTGCACACCCTCCCCGCAGCGCTGATGAACCAGACACAGGCTGAGAGACGTCAAGTCGGACTGTGCGCGGATCCATCTCCAATTCTGCTGGGAGCCACCCAGCCTTTTCTAACCGAAAAGGTCACATGACTTTCTGGAAAAGGCAAAACTCTGTGGATGGAGGCCAAAGCCAGGGCTGAGACTCTAAGGAGATGGATCTGCTTTGTCCTGAACATCTCAACAGGCATTCATTCATCACCTCAGAGCTACACAGTAATAAAGGACAACCTCCCCCGAGGAAAATCACACACGAACAAACCAAGAGATGGAAAAGCCATACCTGGTCCTTGGTTTTCCCTTCACGTTCCCGGATGTGCGTGGTGACGATTCGCTCCGTTTCCTCTCGTAACCGGGGGTAGGAGTTGAGCTGGGGAGAGAAGCAGAGTGGTCGCATGGGCGAGGGCGAGGCCTCACACCCAGGAGGAAATGCATCAAAAATCCAAGGGAGGGGAAGTGTGAGAGAGAAATGGGGAGGCCCTCCGAGACTCCAGGCCACTCCTGTCACCCCAGCTACTTCAGTGGGGGACAAAACTGGGGCCTGGGGTGCCGATGGGTCTGGGCAGGGGGTGAAAGAGGGTGCCGTGCAAGAGCGGAAGGGCTTTCCCAGTCAGTAAGTCAGAAGACAGGGGCAGAGAGAGCAGGCGGCATCCACGTCCAGCCCAGCCCGGGTGACGGGGACCCTGAGGGTGCGTTAAGGCCTGGGTGGATGGGGTGCGTGCATGAGTGCACAACACCTCCTTACAGATGGTGTGGTGACACCTGGGCCAGGGCCATCTACCTCGGCGGGACCCCACTGAAGACAACACCTTCTCGACACTCCACCTCCAGAGCCACGCCTCCTGGGCCCACAAGGCCGGGCAGTGTCGGAGCCAGAGCGGCGGTCACAGTGACTGTCAGGTTACAGTCAAAGGCAGGACAACCAAGCAGATGGATAAAGGCTCAGGGACCACCGTCCAAGTGTCCCTGACCACACCTCGCAGGCTGGCACACGGGTGACAAGGCCCACTGTGGTGGCAATGGGTGGAAGGAAGCCCATCGTCTTGTGCACGCACTGACTGGCCCTGGGTTGCAGGGTGGGCTGGGGTCTCTGCCGGTTAAGTCAACATGGGGCATGGGGCAGCACTGAAGACCTGCAACCCCACTGGGAGCTACGAAGGCAAAGGTGGAATGTGGGTTCAATGAAACACCCTCGAATTGGATCTGCCAATGTGAGGCCGTGAGGCCGCTAGGGTCACAGGAGGGGGGCTCCGGCCGAGGCAGAACTCCCCGGACGCCCAGGCTGAGGCCGGCAATGGGAGGGAGAAGACGGAAGGCGAAGGCATGAGTGCTAACAATGAAACCTGTTACCTTCTCAGCACACTTTTTAATGACCGTGGCCAGTTCTGAGACCACGAGGTCAACACACTTCAGGGCCGGCTCTTTGAGCTTTACAAGCTGTTTTTTCACAATGGCTTCAAAGGCCATGTCAGGGGTGAAGAGCCCCGTCCTGGGTCATGCGGAGGGAGGGACGAGGTAGAAGGACACCCAAGGACAGTGCAGGCCACACACACACACACACACACACACACACACACGGGACGGGACACAGAGAGAGAGAGAGAGAGAGAGAGAGAAGAAACGAGAGTCAGCTGATTAGTAACGTGCGCGGGGAGCCTCTGTGCCCGTATCTGCCCCAGAAGCTGCTTCTGATCAGAGAGGCCTCCTGGGTGGGGGCTGGCTCAGGTGGGGGCTGGCTCAGGTGGGGGCTGGCTCAGGTGGGGGCTGGCTCAGGTGGGGGCTGGCTCAGGTGGGAGCTGGCTCAGGCGGGGCTTAGCTGTGAAGGTACCGCTGCTCCTCCTCATCCCAGACACAGCCAAGTGCTGGACAGAAGCCGTGTTTTCAAATTTGTCATCAGCTCCAATACAAATGAGGTTTTATGCTCTCCCTCCCTTTTCCAATCGAAGGTTAAGAAGCAAACATGGCTTTTCCAGACTGATAACAGGGGAGTTTGAGCCCAGAGCCCCTGCCTGGGAGTGCCAACCCACAGCTCTGCTGGCCACGGGTGGGCGCACAGCACAAACCGCCCACCGGAAAGCATTTCAGCGGCATGGCCAAAGCGTGCTGCCCTGGGAAACAGGCCCCTCGTGGGGGCATAAGGGCATCTGGCTGGTGGAGGTGGCTGCCCGGGACCACAGGCACAGGAGGCTCGTGACCGAGTGGCTGTGAGGGCTGGGTGAGACACCTGTGGCCGGTTACAAGCCAACCTGGTTTTGGGGTGCCAGCGATGCCGGCGTCACCGCGCTGTTGGCATGCAGGGCTTCCTCAGCCCCAAGGACACAGGAGCAGTGCCCAGCCCCAGGGGAGGTCGAAAGCGCAGGCATTCTGTCAAGGAGGGGTGACCATTGGAGAGGCCTGGAGAGCTGGACCTCCAGCAGCTGACGTGGGCACCCTCTCTGCTTCCCAGAAGGCAGCAAAGCAACAACAGCTCAGATGAAACCCCCAATTCTATCAGTCACATGCTAGGCTTGGTATCAGGGTCCCAGGGAGGCCTGTCCATCAGACTTTTCAGTCTGGGGGCTCAGCACCAGGTGGTTGGGCCCAGGCTGAAATGCTCCCGCCCGAGCCTCTGGGTCGAGGCTACCATCTGGGAAGCCGAGGCGACGTGGGGCACAGGTGCCAGCTGGGGGGAGGCCGCTGCAGCGTGGGGAGCCTGATACCAAACCCCCGTGCCCGTCTCCAGGCCAGGAATCACCCTGTGGAGGGTCCAATACCTTACTGGTACACTGCCTAACTGTATTGATTAGCTCCTGGATAACCAGGTCGACACATTTCAGACAGGGCTCTTTCAGCTTCACGACCTGCTTTTTCACAATGGCCTCAAATGCCAAGTCCGGGGTGAAGAGCCCAGTCCTATAACAGCCGAGCCCGGGCAGGGAGACGAGTCAGAGAGAAACAGAACAGGGTCAGCATCCCACAGCATGGGCTGGGCCCAAGGGAGGTTGTCGTCTGTGTCCGCTGCCTAGAAACCCCTAGGGGACCCCAGGGCCCTACACAGTTGGAGAGAGGGGATTCCCTTCGCTGGATGGCAGATGGAGACCCAGCAGGGGAACCCAAGACGGGGGCTGACACTCAGTTCTGGTTAAGTGCAGTTCTGCTATGCGCCCTGCCCTCCCCAGGCCAAGTCTGCATAGCTTTTCTCTACCATGGTGACCAGGGTTTATGCCGAGCACTGGGGAGGAACCCAGGCACACTGAACCCGAGGCCAAAGGCCAGCTCAGGGACTGTAGCTCACACAGGGACTCAAACGCCCCACCCTGGAGGTACACAAGAGGGCCTCACAGCTACTGCAAGCTACTCAAGGACCCCCTCATGGTCTCAAAATCGAGGTGCCCAGAGATTAGAGGGCCTGACTGGCTGGAGGGTTGACCCTGCAGAGCTGAAGACAAGATGGTGACTCTCCCCAAAGAACTTGCCTGACTCCATGGATGTTCTTAATGGCGTAGCTGATCTCTCGTCGTAAGTCCTTCTCATCGAACTCCATCTGAGGACAGACAGACAGACAAATCATATGCAAGGAGCCACCTGTAGATCGCAGTTACGGAACGGTAGGTCCTGCGAGTTACGTGACGCATCACGCTAGGCAAGTGTGCTGCAAAGGACCCGGTCAGAGTGTCCAAACTCCAAAGATCCCATCTCGAGGACTAGGGTGCACGTTTCCGACCCAAGTCATGACTTTTCAATGCCTTCACAAGAACGCAAAGGTGGACAGTAAGGAGGAAAGGCCAGACGGGAACCAGTGCCTGTAAGTGAGGGTGCTGGAAACGTATCAAATGGAGCAGAGCACTGAATATCCCCGGGACTGTCAAAATAACAGAGAGATCTTGGAGACAGTGAAGCCAGACTGACCCTCAGAAACAAGGACGGCGAAGCTTCACCTCGCATTATTTTGGGCATGTTGCTTGGAAGGGTGGGGGGATTGTGGAGGAGAGGAACATCAGACTGACGCAGTGACTTCAGCAAAGGGCTCCAGTGTCAGAGACTGGGAGGATGACACGGGATAGGATGGAGTTCAGAGCGGTTGTTCAAAGTGTCACTGTGAGTCGTACTCGATGCAACAGCACCTCACAGTGACAGTGACGACCGACTGCCAGGAGAATGAACTAGTCTGTTTGAGAAGAAGGGCAGCCTGAATGCCCCTAAGAAGCGAGGAAGGGGCCTGTCTGATGTTCCTGGACACGTCGGCAGAAGGGACCAGTCCCTGGGAAGGGCATCATGCTTGGTAGAGGTTCAGGGGAAAGGAAAGAGGCAGACCTTGAGGAAGATGGGCCAACGTGATGCCTTTGACTGGGGCGGATCTCAGGCCCAGAGACGGTGAGGGCGGCACAGGCCAGGCAGGCCTCGCCCACCATACTGAAGGTCGCCCAGAGGCAGAGTGTACTTGGAGTTACCTAACTGCAGCTGCTTCGTGCCGCTGCTTTTACAAAGCAGCATTATTTTCATGGGTCAAAATGAAAACAAAAACTCAGCTACAACCACAATCAAATTCACAATCGCTGAAAAATATGAATACAATCTAAACAACAGACAACACGAGGCTGCATAACAGGAGATCTACAAAACAGGAACCCCAACTTACGGCAGGGCTCCCATCTGACAACTGCTCCACCACGAGTCAGTTTCAAGGTAAGTTAAATACCTGTTTCCTGTTTTCATTTTTCCTATTGTTGTTTGTTTTGTTTTTTTTTTAAATTATCATTGTCAATCTGCTCTCTCTAGGGGCCAGGACATAACATCTAAGAAAGAATGTAACATCTGCTAATTACACAGTGCGACACTGTATATAGTGATGAAGCACAAATGAGTGCCGTGTACTGTATACAACAGGTAAAAACAAACACAGTGGCATTCTCAGAAACTATGCTGTCAACCAAGGACAGCAGGTACCGTACCCGCAACAAGCCAGGATCTAGAGGGGACAACCACATCAAACAGGAGGGCGCCAATGACAACCTGTTTTTAAATTTGAAACATATATGCCGTTGCTATCGTTAGCTGTAATCCTGCCAGGCCACGGCTCGCGGTGACCCGACGTGGGATGGAACAAAATGCACCAGCCCCGCCCCAGTGCCACGTTCGGAGGTGGATCAGACCACGGTGCTCCACAGGCTTCTGCAGCCCGATTTTCCAGACGCAGACGGCCAGGCCTTTCTTCCTAGTCTTAGCCTGGAAGCACCACTGAAACCTGCTCAGCCTCGCAGCACTACGCAGTCCACCATGGACAGAAGGGTGCTGGCTGGGTGTGCGGTGCACTGGTGGGAAACCACATCCAGGGCTCCAGGAGGGAGGGCCAGAATCCTGCCACCAAGGTACCGCTACCTCAGGAAATATCTACGGACACAGCAGAGAGGAGGAGTTGATGCGCTGCTGTGTACGTGAGTGCTACTGTGCATGTGTTGTGAATGTAAGCGTGCTTCCCCAGCATGGAAACAATCCAGACAGGACACACAGCCAGCGTCTGGGTGGTCAGGCGTGTCCATGCTTTCCTCCTCAATCCCTGCACCTAGGGCTGATGACACATTTGTGACAGGCCTTACATCGGTCCTTAAAACCACACACACGTGATTTCAGGTGTGCCACTGGCACGTGATCCTGTGTGAGGCTATTCATCCAGGTGGGATGAGCGGCTCTGTAATCTGTGCTTCCTCCCTTCACCTCCACTCACCACCCCGCCGGGTGTCAGGGCCTGGCTAACCTGCAGGATCAGCGATGCACAGTAAAAACAGCAGGCCCACTCATCTTGGCTTGACCATCCTTTCTCCAGTAAACAACTCCAGGAAGCAGTATGCTAATGAATAAGGAGGGACCAAAGGCCTCAGAATTCTAGGAATGAGATACCTCCTTGTTTTCCAATAGATATCATAGGATATCACTGGAAGATGTCTTCGTTTTGTGTTGAGGTCTGGGAATGTTTGATCTACCAGTCAACATCTCTGACAGACAAGAGATAATGCAATCACCCCTGCAGGCATGTTCCTAAGACACACACGTGGGTGTGTGTGTGTGTGTGTGGGGGGGGGGTGTCCGTCCTTGCCAGAATATTAAACTTGCTATTTGTCATCAGCATTTAGCCTCTCCGCATCTTCATTTCAACCTGGTGCCTCCTTTTGGCGGAATTCTCCCGACATATCTAGGCTGGATCCCCGATAGCCGGGGACGTCTCCCCACAGTGTTCAAGCTCACAGTAAATGCAGATTCTTTTCTGGGAGAGGGAAAACGGGACTGTCCTTTAGCTCAGCAGACACTTCTCGGCCCCCTACACTGGGAAGGATGCCCACGGCAGGGACGCTTCCTCCAAGGCCGAGGGCTCCTGACAGTGGGCTTGGGCCTGAACACCTCATGGCTGACAGAGGATCCGAGAGGGTGTGCTGGGCGGAGACACGAGGAGGGCCGGGTCGTGGCAGCTCTACCTTCACTAACTCGAAGGGAAACCGCTCGTGGAAGATGCGGTTGATGCGGGCGCCCCCGGAGAGCTCCAGCGTGTCCACTTGGTCACCTGAGCCTTCGATCCTCTTCTCAAAGTCTACCCCAAACTGCTGGACCATCCTGTGAAGAGAAGGAGGGCTGTCATCAAAGTGGCCTGGGCACTGCTCCAGAAGTGGGTCCTGAGTCAGCCTGCGGCTTATTCTTCCCGCTTAACTGTTAGCTGGACAATGGACGCACACACTCCCACTCCCTCTCTCTCAGCAGCCACTGGCCAGCTGTGCCTCCAGGTGGCAGTGCTGCTCCTTGCCTGCCCACCTGGCCTTCCTGGTGAGGGAGTGCTTTCCTTTTTGCATAGCTAGTAACCACCCCAAGGCCTGCCTCTCAGTCACCATATAGGCTGCAGTTGGCTGTGAACCCTCCCAGTGTCTATCTCATCTGCAGGTCTCCAAGCCCATCCTCCTCCTCTGCCTAGAGGCCCCTCCTCAAGGATGACACCCACCGTCACCCACAGTCACTCTGACCAGCTTGCTCCATTGTACCCCTCCCATTCCCTCCCCCTGTAGGCTGTCACAAATGTGACCCAGTGGGTCGGCTTGTGTCACTGGGCAGACAGGGAGAGGGGCTTAAAATGCTGAAAATTCCAAGCTTAGCACTGACTCGTCTATGGCTCTTGACTCCACCACCGATGGGCCGTGAGGCCCTGAGCCAGTGCTTTGCTCCTCTGTGCCTCAGCTTCCTAGTCTGCAAAGTGGGCTGCCGGGAACAGGCACCACCCAGGAGGCCTTTGTGACGCTCCAAGGAGCTTCTGGGTTTCACCAACTCAACAAGTCACAGATGATGAAATGCACCCTTAATCTGTACAGTTACAGAAAAGCAAGACCAGAGCCCACAAGTGGCAACCTGTTCGAGGCCAGAAGGTGCTTGCTGATTTCCTCACCTCTACTCCCTCAAATCCTCATCTACTCGAGTATTCTGCAGAGTTTAGCTGCTCCAATTGGGACCATCTCCCAGCTGGGGCCAGGGCACTGAGCCCACAGTTCTTTAGCAAAGAGAAGTCCGGCTGTTCAGCAAACACAGCTGATGCCAGTGTGCTGCCAGGGTGGCCAGACGCCACCCCAGGAGGACCTCCTCGGGCCCAGGGGCCACACAGGCAGCCTGGAGTCTGGGGAGCTCACGGGCCACAGAGAGAAGACTTGCATAATAGATTTTCAGAGACACACAGGCCGGTGTGAACGCTGCCCCACGGAATGGGCCAGATCAAGGCCAGGCTGAGAGAGCGCATCACCAGGGCAGCACAGGGCAAGGCAGGGCTGTTTCAGGGTCAGGTTGTGGATGGCGGCTCCTGCTGCCGACTGCGGAAGGGAGCAGACATGCAGCCTGGAGCCAAAGTCGACTCAGGGTCAGCTCAGGCTGTGCTCACGGAGAGGTTCAAGTGCAGTAACCACAAATAACCAGTGGCCCTCAGAGCCGAGAGGCGGCACGCTGACAGATGCCACGCTCACATTCTTAGGGCTGTGTGTCTCTGTCACCAGGTCCAGGAACAGAGACTGTGTAGGCACGAAGTGCGGGGAGGAGCGCTGGTCAGAAAAATGTCCCGTCACTCTGTGGGAGAAGAACCTGCGGGGCTCTGAGATGCGGCAGGCTGTGGTCAATGCCACCCCTACATGGATAGCCGACTAGGCTGTGCTGGGCAGAGCAGCGCCGACACAGAACAACCAATGTAATGATGCTGATAAAATCACAAACAGCTTTAAGGGCCCTGGCTTCCTGGGAGGTAGGCACACATGTGACTCCAGGAACGCACCCAAACACCACATGGGGGGCTGGTCATGGGCAGCGATGTTGCCCCTCTGGAGGTCACGGTACCTGCCCCTATGCAAACGCTCACACACTAGGACGTGGTGGTCCCTCTTCTAAGAACCTATCCCAGAGGAATCCGCACACGGCCACCAGCACTGATTCCAACGACACAAAGGACACCTGACTGTTACCTGTGGGAGTCACACCACGCTGCGTGGTCACACTGCAATACCCTCAGCAACCACAGGCCCCTACAGTGCAATGGGACTGGTAACACCAGAAACAGTGTAAAGATGGGAAATGGCAGAAGCAACAATTTCAAAAAACAATACATAACATGGGAGAGACTGGAGAGCTCTACGCCGAGTGAACTAACTCGGGCTCCTTAGGACAAATGCTGCCTACGATCATTATTGTACAAACAGAAGGACAGCCAGTAAGAGGTGTGAAAATGTCCAAAGAAGAAAGGGGCTGAGGGGGAGGAGGAGGAGAAATCATGAGGCGGCAGAATTTGCTGGGTAGAGGTGGTGGTGAAGGAATTAGAAAAGATCCAGTGGGGATTTGAAAAGACGGAGTAATTAATGGTGGGCACAGATCAGTGGTGATTAATTTCATAAGACACACGGATGTGAACGACAGTATGAGATCCGGACAGGGAGTGTCCACAACCAGCCCTTCATCCATCCGGAATGTTGTACTGTGTGACCCGAGAACAGCAGCCAGAGGGCGCCAGCACACACCGGAGCCAGCCAGCTCCCTCCCGTCACTGTCCATCAGAGAAGGGCCACGGGGTCCCTCTATCCACGCAGGGTCCCCTTACCCACACAGGCTTGGTCCTCACCCAGGACCTCTGCACCGATGGGCTTGCCTCTTCCTTTGGGACTTCGAGGTCCCTTCTCTCATTCTGCCTGATGGCATTTTCACCACTGGGCCCACCACAATCAAACTGCACGCCTACCCCCTGGCCCTCTCTAGCCTCTCCCTGTGTAAGTGGTTGACTGTTTAACACACTCCCATTTTTTTTTTAAATAAAAAATGTTTTTATTACTATAAGTAACTATAGGGATATTTTTCTAAAAAAATAAAAGTTTATGCTGACATATAGAAAAAAAATTTATAGACACTCATTTTTTTGTGTGTATTTTCTCTGATCATGTCACCTCATGTAGCCACAGCCCCACAGACAGCTGCACCCTCCTAGTAATGTAACTGATTTCCTTCTGTGATTTTCTCCCCACTGTACCTCCTTATTGCTTTTACACACACTCCCAATTTGCTGGTATTTTCTGTCCCATCTCCTCATCTGAGGCCCCAGGTCAGACATGGGTGTCGGCCTTCTCCAGTCAGCGTCCAACAAAGGGCTTTGGCACACATAAGGTGATCGCCAAATGTTTGCTGAACGAACAAGTGACTGAGCAGAGACTGGTGCCCTGGGGCTGGAGTCTGGTGCTGGGGAGGACAAGCCAGGCTGGGGGCGGGGGCAGGACACATACTGTAGCAAGGCTTTAGTTTTGCGTGTGGGGTCGTCAGGCCGGAAGTTCTTGTACTCCTCCACCTCCTTCTCCAGCGACAACAGCTGGCTCTGCAGCTTGCTGCGCAGGGTGGGCAGTGACTCCCGGATGTGGTTGGTCAGTTGCTGCAGGAGAGGCCAGAGAGCAGAGGTCAGAGGGAGCCCCAGGCCACCTCGGGCACAACACACCCACGGCCAAGAGGGAACACCCCAGAAACACCCTGGCCACACCCCCTCTCACACAAGGGGTAAGGACAGGGCCCAGAGCTGTTCAGAGCTGAAACGGGTTCTTGTTACAGAGCTTGGCAAGCCAACAGTGGCGTCCACAGCCAGGCAGTCGGAGAGACCCAGGGTGGACCCACGACCTCCAGCGGACACCACTCAGCGTGCTGGGGAGAAGCACTGGGATGCTCCCCACAAGCTGAGAACGCTCACCCCCTGAAGAGGCCCCCGGGGAGCCTATGATGGACAAGACAAGAGAGCAAGAAGCCCACGTACTCACAGGCTGTATCTGCATAGACACGGCAGTCAGAGGAACAAGGCAGGAAGAAAAGGGGAGGAGGAAGCGGGTGGGCAGCCTAAGACCATCCATGGACCCGTTCCGTGCTGTTCTGAACCCTTTAGGGATTTACTCCTTCTCCACGTTAAAGGAGGCTGGAGTGGCTGTTAGCTGCCGTCCACCCACGGTGACCCCCAGCAAAACCATGTGAACTAGTGTCCGGTCCTGTTCCAACCCTGTGGTCTCCTGAAGATCTCTCAGCTGTGGGGGGACCATATGGGTTTCTCTGGCTGACTTCCATTAGTGATCGCCAGGCCCTGCTTCCTGGTCTCCCTTAGTCTGAGCCCTCTGTGGAAACGTGTTCAGCATCACAACATGCAAGCTTCCACCCACGTGGCTGCACGCCAGGGCGCTGGCTGCGAATCGAGTCCGGGTCTCTTATCATACAGGGAGTCCCTGGCTTAAGACACAGTTCCACTGTAACGCCTTACTAAGGCATTTCAGACACTAAATACTCCTCTATTTTTTCTTATTAATTTTAATGAATCCTCGATTTTTTAAAAAAAAAGTTATTATTGTCTTTTGCTATCACTCCGTTTATAAATATGATCTTCATTTGTCTTTGAGGGGTAGGAGGAATATGTCATCAGTAGGTGAGATGTTGAAACATTATTTGCTGTATGTATTACTAACAATATGATGTGCCAGAAAGGAAAAAAACACACAAAACCCCCAAATGGGTGGTGGCAAGTGATGCTCGTGGTAACTGGGACGTGTCATCCGCAGGGGCTGCCTGTACACACACCTGTCATGCCTGCACCCCCCAGGGCCTGCGAGGCCAAGGAAAGGCAGGGCGCAGGGACACGGCTTGCCGCCGGGAAAGGAACTGGCTGTCACGGGAAGGAGGGACTTGGCAGTTCACTGTATTTGGGCTGGATAATGATGATAATTTCATTTTAGTGTTACAGAGAGAGAGAAGAATGAGAAAACCAGAATCTTGTTTCCAGGAGGTTCTCCTGGTGAATGGAGGGAAGGTTGGCTAAAGGGGCACGGAGCCAGAGAATGGGCTCCCCTCTACCCACGGCTGGAGAACGGGCTCCCCTCTACCCACACTCTGAATTGGATCCAGCAGCAGCCCAGCCCCTCGGGAAGGAACTTCAGGGTCTATGCAGTATGCACTGGTCTCCAGCCACGCCGCAGAGTGGCATCACTCCCCCATGTAACCCCCGGGCCCCTGCTCCCAGAAGCAGTGGGATTTGAACTAGCTCTGGCTGCGTGAGCTGAGCACCGTTAGGTTCCTGCAGTCCACTGGGCTGGGACCCCCACCACCTGTGAATGAGTTTCACTTCCCTCCCTCCTCCCGGCCCAGATGGACCCTGGCTGACCCAGGGGGCACTGACTTCCCCTTTGCTCCAGAGCTGTCTTCTGGGGAACTCCGGCACTACTTCTCTCCTTGGGCCCCCAGCACTCCCCGCCCTGGAGGGGCCTTTATCTGGTGGGGTGAGAGGGCTGTTTTGCACTCATCTCCCCACTGGAAACACATAAAGCCCTTCTCTCACATGTACACATGAACCCAAGAGTCCCCGATGGCCACCCCGGGGCTCTGCCACCCTTCAGGATACAATGAGGGGAACATGGGTTTCACCTCTACTCCTGCCAGAGGGACCCCAGCATGGGTGACAGGGGCAGCCAGTAATAGATTCACAACATAATCCCGTATCAGGGACCTGATCCTACAGAGGAAGTCACACACGTGCAGAATGACATCATCTTGAATGACAGCAGCCTATTGCCAAACAGGAACCATCTCAGCAGCCGTGGAGACATGCCAAAGCGCTCTCCTGCCTGCACTTACAGAAACCAAGGGCTGTGCTTCCAGTGATTTCAAGCCAGGACCGAGGTCAGGGCTGGGAACTGAGCTCAGGGCCAGAGACCAGGTTCAGGGCTGGGGACCAAGTTCAGGGCAGGGACGGGGGCACTTACAGGTTCAGGATGGCGCAGGCCACCCCAAATACGTCTTATGTGTCTAAACCCTGTGACTACGTGACTGTGAGGCCAGCACTCCAGGGCCAGGCCGGGCTGTGGAACCCCTAGCTACCTGCCCAGTGCTGACAGCACTCGACTTGGGTTTGGCCCATGTAGCCTCCTTTCATGTGGGGCGAGGGTGTTAAATGTTCTTAAGTCAGGTCTCTCTACTAGGAACTGCACACCAACTGCTGGGCGTGTGGACAGTAACTCCAGCGGCCAGGAAGCACGAGCCCTGGTGACTGTGGTGGTGAGAGCAGTCACAGTGACAACTGAACGCCCCTCCTTTGCTGGGCCCTGACTCAGACGCCATCACCATGTGAGTCAGCGCCATGGGCCAATCTCACGCTGTGGAAAGCAGGCAGGCCTGGGACGAGGCACTGAGGCTGTTGGGCCTCTGTCTGCCCCCCCGGCCCTGCTGCATGTGGACCCCGAGCCCTGCCGTACCTGGTTCAGGGTCTTCTGCAGGTGCGGGGTGCCCATGCGGTCGGCCATGTGCCGGTAGGCCGGGTGGGACAGGAAGAACTTTCGCTCAGCCGCCATGGCCGCACGGATGTCCTTCTTGCCCTCAATGTCTTTCTGGCTGCGGTTCACCACGCCGATGTAGCCTGTGAGGGGACAGGGTCAGGTGGGGACAGTGCCAAACAGATCCGGGTGCTCAGGCACCCACCAGCCCGGGGTGGGTGAGGTTTGAGGGAAGTGGGTCCTGCCCCACAAGCCACCACAGACTCGGTCACCTCAGGAAACAAAAGGCTGAAACAAGAACATCCCAGAACCGAGCCCACTGCTGTCAAGCCGACTCCGACCCACAGGGACTCTAAGTTCAGATGAGATCTGTGTGATGGGTTTCTCAGGTAGTGAATCTGCGGGAGCAGACTGCCACATCTGTCTCCTACATACAGAGCAGCTGGGAGGTTCGAACCGCCAACCTCAGGGATGTAAACAATCCGAGTGTTCATCAAAAGATGAATGGATAAACTACAGCACGCACATACACACAAAGGGACAGTATGCAACACTTTAAAAATCACACAAGAATTTGCGTAACACTACATAACATGGATCTGAAGCATAGAATGCTGAATGAAATAAGGTCACAGATTACTGACATTTCAGTGAGTGGGCAAACAATTGATTACTGTACCAGCAGATCCCACAGCAAGTAGACAAGGGGGGAGAGGAAGAGGAAGGAGGGGTGTGGACCAGAGTGTGTCCTGGAGGAAGGAAGCTGAGGGCATCATCTCTGCCACTCAGGTGGTGGGGCTGGGGTGCTAAACTGAGCCAAGACTGGGATCCTGGGCTTTCAAGTGAGCAAGAAGTGCAGAGCTGTGCGAGGGGAGACGGTGCGGACTGGTGGGCTGGGAGGAGGGGCTGTGAGAGGGGAGACGGTGCGGACTGGTGGGCTGGGAGGAGGGACTGTGCAAGGGGAGACGGTGCGGACTGGTGGCCTGGGAGGAGGGGCTGTGAGAGGGGAGACAGGTGTCCACTGGTGGGCTGGGAGGAGGGACTGTGAGAGGGGAGACGGTGAGGACTGGTGGGCAGGGAGGAGGGGCTGTGCGAGGGGAGACGGTGCGGACTGGTGGGCAGGGAGGAGGGGCTGTGCGAGGGGAGACGGGTGTCCACAGGTGGGCTGGGAGGAGGGTGCTGGCACAATGGGGGCTATCTGTGTTTCTCTCCACCACTGACAATTCCTTCCTAAACTTGTCAGCCACAGGTTTGCAATTCAGCCCCTGATCCCTGAAGCCAGAAGGGTTTTGGGGTTGTGCCCCCGGCCAAGCTCCCTCCTGCTCTGGGTTCACCCTGTCATGCCACGTCTCAGCTGTGTTGCTGGCAGAACGCAGTGACGTTTCTCCAGGCCTATCCTGGGGCTCAGTTCCCAGGCATGGAGTCAAATCAAAGACAGAGAGGTGCCCACAGCTGAGGGCACAGGAGAAAGGGGAGAGATGGAGAATTCACAGAAAAAAAGGGGGGAAGGAATCACACTAGGTGACTAGGCATCAGCACAGCACAGGGGCAAACAGGAAGCACGTGAGAGGCCAACAAGTGAGACCGAACAGTAATAGCCTGAGCACTCTGTGAGGAATGCAGCGGGACCTCTGGGAGCCCAGAGAGCATCTACCCAGCACAGGTAAACGTTCTAACAACCTGCCAAGCGAAGCAGGGAAGCAGGTCACAGAGCAGCCTGGAGCCAGAAGAAAACCAGCTCTGCCACTTGCTGGCTCTGTGAGCTGGGGCCAAGGATGCAGCTTCTCTGGGCCTCAGTTTTCTTTATCTGTAAAATGGGGATGACACTGAGCTGTTGCGAGGATTAAATGAGACCCGCATATCTAGAGCTTAGGAGAGGGTCTGCTGCAGACCCTCAGTAAATGCTGGCTTATCCTCGTTTTCAGGGGCAACAGACAATTCCTTTTGGAGGCCTGGATGACAACCTAACCAGGCCTGTCCAGGGATCAGCAGCAGCTTCCAGGGAACTCACAGTAACTGGGCAAATTCCCAATGCAGGACATTCACAGAAACTACAATCTGGCATCTTCCACAAATAATACGTCACAAGAAAAACAAAGGGGACGGGTGGGGGAGCTGTTAGAAAAGCTTAGGTGCTGGTGTGTAAACAATCCATAGCCTGAAATCTGTGCTGAAATCCCACAGGAAGAGAATGAAAAACTGAAGAGAGTCCAGGTTGGGGTTCAAGACTAGTTGTGTGCTGCTAACCGCTGAGGCGGGGTAGTGAGCCCCCGGGGATGCAGCAAATGCTTCTCTTCTAAACATTTTCAAAACACAAGTACACACAAACCAGCACAGGTTTAGAATCCTCATAGAAGCTCTTTGGAAGGTGAGCCCCAAAGCCCTAACGAGGGGCTCTCGGGCGGGTGATTGGACTTTTCTCCCCCCTGTACACACGTTCGTGTTGCACAAGCCAGTGGCTGTTAGTGGTAACTCAAGAGTGATGTGTGCAAACCAGCAGAAAGAGGCCCGTGGGCATACACACAGCGTGCCAGGACTCACAGCCCAATGCACAGCCGTCAGGGCCGGCGAGTACGTGTGTCCATGCATGTATTCTGAAACTCTGTCACGGTCTCAGGAATGAGGACAAAAGGACACAAATGTCTGTGAAAAGCGAGCGCTCCAGGACCCCGCCCCCAGGCCCAGACTCACCTCTTCTCAGGGGGAGGAGCTTGTTCTCCAGGACGTCCCTGGCGTCGGTGCCTTCGTCCATCAGGTCGAGCTTGGTGATCACCCCAATGGTCCGCAGGCCTGTAAGAGTCCACATGTCAGCCTGTGACAGGACGAAGGAGGTGGGCTGCTGGCCTCGGGCCACCTCCTTGCTCCCCAGCTTCCCAGAGAGCAAATGATGAAGGAAAAGCCTCAATCTCAGAGGGCGTCCACCAAGATAAATTGTGCGTGGCAAAGACTAGTCACAGTGGCCACGGCTGTCAGCGTTCCTGGTGCCTCATGTCGACCTCGTTCTACTGCAATGTGGATTTACTCTTTCATACTAGCATAGGGACAGTTCTGTGTGATAATTCTATGTCACCCTGTGCTGTCAGCACTTGCTGCTCCAGGCAGGGGTGGGGGAAGGGAAATACCACGGATATTCACATCCAGAGATGTGAGTGTGCTGCTCTCCCAAGTGCAAGCCAAGTTCAACTGAACACGAAAACCTGCAGTATATGTATGGGCTTTATACCCACCCCCGCCACTCCCGCCACAAATGAATAGCTAAAACTCTACTCCTGAACAATCCCACCTAATCCCTCCTCTCCTTGAGTCATCCAGAGACAAAGCCCCAAGCCTACAGACCAACGGTCACAGCCTGCTGAGAGCCAGCCCCTCTCTTTTTCTCTGTGCGTGTGAGAGACAGAGAGACAGAGGCAGAGAGAGAGAGAGAGAGAGAGAGAGAGGGGAAGAGTTCTCTCGGGCATTGCTCTCTTGGGCGACAGGTGTGCTGTCTGGGGCCCTCCACCTGCTTGCCCTGCGCTGTCGGTGGTGGAACTCAGCCCTGTCTTTTTTTTTTTACAGAGGTTTTGGATTTCCATTCATTCATTGCCGCAATTTTCTCCCTCCCCACCCTTCCCCACCAGCTCGCTTCCCCCTCCGGAGGAAAAAAAATTCCTTCATTAGTATACAATTCCCACGTCCCTTCCCCCCACCCCCACCCCCTAGTACACTTCTCTATGCAACCTTAATTCTGGATTCC